CATTTTAAATATTGAAAAATTAACATCAGATACGTAGTCAGTGACCCCAAAAATCCCCGAATAGAAATTTCCATGAGCCTAGATCAATTTTTTTGTCCTTTATATTATAACGCCCTCCCTAGGGGTTTCAAGACCTTGCCGCTTGAGGGGCTCTTTTCCGGCAGGAAACTACTTTTCGAGACCTTTCGTGGGGACATAGGGGGCGAACCCTTTAAAATGGGTCAGCCGCACGAGAAACCGAATCTACTATGTTTCGCTGGACAGTGTCCCAGGGCATGGCGATTTAGAGGGGTCATCAAGAGAGACGGGATGGACAGAGAATTAACCGCGGGTCCATTCCAAAGATTTCCTGCTGGCGGAGTCTGAATAAAAAGAAATCCTTCCGTGGTTTGTTCAGGGTTACCAAATCCTTGGGGTTCTTCCGGGGGGCGGTGCGGGTGGGGAACGACCATCGCTGGGCATAACTTAGCTCTCGTAAAGCTCGGGAGGGGCCTGTCTTTCTGGATGCTACGATCCCATGGTGGGGCTCTGAATAGAGGTATCTTAAACGAGACTCTGGGATACCAGGCGACCTCTCCGATATAATTAGCCTTTTCCTTAAATAGAGGTTCTTTAAGGATAGACCTTGTTTTCCTCTTTTCTCGTGGGAATATAATGGACACTACGGAGATAAATAACAATAAACCACTCACACCAGTGTTGAAGAGCCCTCTTTGGGGGAACACGATGGTGGCGATCAGGGTGTGGAGGCGACAGAGGGGACCGTGAGTCAGTCTTAAATATGGCTGCTTCCAGGATCCACTTTATGCAGATGCCAAGAACTTCGCAAGGATGCAGACAACTATAGTCTTTGGTCAAGAACCTTGGGTTTACAAGGATAAGATTAAAGGTCTATATGGTTGTGAAGAGCTAGTTAGTTCACCATAGGAAACAGTTCTAAGGGCTTGTCTGATCTATAAAGGTCTAGTCGCTTTCCCTCTATTGGAATTAACTACTAGGGACTTAGCTGTTGTTAATGCTAAGTACTTAGAAAAGAACGGAAATAAATAGGAGGTTGTAGTAGCTTCCGCTTATTTTCAGGGATCGGGGGATAACTCCGCACCATCTAGAGAGGTGGAGAAGTTGGTAGATTACTGTCAACGGCAAAGTCTCCCTTTGATAATAGGTTGTTATGCCAATGCGCACCATGTCGTATGGGGCAGCACTGACATTAAAGACAGAGGCAGAAGACTTTTATATTTTCTGATAGATACGGATTTAGAAATTTGAAATCAAAGTAATGAGCCAACTTTTGTTACTGTTAACAGAAAAAAAGTATTGAATATACGATCTGTTCCAAGTTTGTGTGGAGTGGTGTGAGGGACTGGAGGGTGTCTGATGAAGATTCCCTCACGGACTATAGATTTATTACATTCAGAATGGAATCGTAAGATCGAGAACATAAATAGGGACGTATTCCTAGGAGTACTGATTGGGCTTCATATATTTAGGACCTCAAGGCCTCTATGGAGTGCTTCCCCACCTCTTATGGAACATATGAAGAGTTGGAATTCGCAGCGGAATATCTACGAGATTCGATTATCTGCTCTTTTAAAAGAAGCTGTGTAGCTCAAAAAGTGGAATCCAACAGGTGTAGTAAATTGTGGAACTCCTGTTTGGAGGGACATAGGCAAACAGTAAGAAACGTTTTCAATAAAATCAAGAAATGTAAGAAATAGCAAGCACGGTATATTTATATATATCATGCTGCTCGTAATTCTTACAGGAAAGAGATACGGAAGGCATGGAGTATCAGCTCAAAGAGCTTTTGCCAGAGAATAGAAAGAGTACCAGAAGCATCAAGACTCCATAAGGTACTAGCTAGAGACCGAATGGTCAAACTAACTACTATTAAGTTACCTAATGGGCATTATGCCCAGGAAACAAGGGAGTGTCTAAAGTATCTGATGGAAGTAAACTTCCCGGACTTTAGAGAAAAGTTGGAGAATAACTATGGCGTGGGACCCAGAAGGGCCCGAGCAAAATGGGAACACTGGAAACTAACAGCCAAAGTTGTGACTCCGGAAGGGATTGATTGGGCAATAGGCACATACAAACTGTGATGTATAGGGAATTGTCACTAGTTGTTACCAGAGACCGTTTGTGTGTGCGCCTTTACAGTCATGTATATCTCATTCCTTGGTTATCTTCCAAGCTGACTAGTTGTCTACTCTGTATCATATATATTAATAAACTGTTATAAATATATTACACAAACCATTCAAGGCCTCAGAGGGGACGGTATATATCCAGTGGATAATTTTATCAGACAAGAATGTCTTAAAAATTATCCTCTACACCAGGGACAACATGCATACAGAGCAGGTTTCTCAGTAGAACTGTTTCTACTGTTTTCCTCCATTCTGCAGTAGGTAGAATAGAGGGACAAACTAGCAGTGGTGGCTATGTGGTTGGCGCCTTTCTTGATATTGAAGGTGCCTTCCCTAACACCTCCAGCAAAGTTATCTGTAGAGCAGCTAGAAAGCGAGGTGGGACCTACCGCTAATTAAGTGGATCGACAATACGCTTGGCGAAAGGGCCCTTGATGCAGAGTGTGGTGAGGGTAGGGTAACAGGCTTTGTTTCAAAAGAGTGCCCACAAGGAGGAGTTCTCTTTCTTTTATTGTAATCCTGGATAAAAAGTTGATTTAGAAAGAACATTTCGAATATCAGTATAGAAGGTTCTATACTGCTTGTTGGGCGTGTAGAAAGGCAATCGGGTCATCGTGGGGACTAAGGCCCAGGGACTAAACCCAGGTTTCTTTACGCGGTGGTTGTTTAATGGTCTAGGACTCAACTGATAACGGTTAAAGAGAAACTGGACCAACTGCAAACAATAATTTTCATGGGTATTACGGGAACTATGAGGACCAAGCTAACAGCTACGTTGGGATTTATGCTAGCCGAAGTACTTCTGCATATTGCATTAAGTATGCTGCAAGACAGGATGATCAAAAGGGTGAAATTTAAACTCCGCTTTAAGATTATTACATCTTCCAGAACGGACTGGAAGAAAGTTGTTTCACTTGGGGACGAAGTCTGGTATAGGCTCCAAGATGGACTGCGGTGCAGGCTTCGGAATCTATCGAAAAACTTGATGCATTAAAGTGTTTTAGTCACTAGGACAATATGCCACGGACTGACAGGCCGAGGGCTGTGCGATTTTAACCTTCACCAAAATGTTCATTCAAAACCGAACAAAGGGCAAGAGGATTAGTATTTGTGTAGATAATTCAGCAAATAAACATTCATTAATTTTGGTCCCTTTTATTGGATCCGACATTTTAAATTTTGAAAATCAAACATCAGATTCGTAATCAACGATCCCAAAAACACAATTACAGTTTATTCTTTTTATTTATAGATGATCAGTTTTATTGTAATTAAAATATGTTTTCATTCATTTTAACGCTGTTTTCACTGGAAAGTATTGGACTTCCTACAGACAACAGATTTGACCTTTTATTAATTATTTTATTTGATTTAAAATTTAAATAACGGATTCAACATGCCACCCGGGTAGCACGTAATGTTGTGAATATTCCAGCATTATTCCAGTAACATCGAGAACATTGAGGCAATATTGGGAATGTTAAGGCATTACTACAATATTATGTGCTACTGGGAAAGCTTAAATACGTTTGCTTAATTCTCACTATCTAACTTCTTTTACAGATTATAGTAAAAATAATCTAGACAAATTTTGCAACAAATTGATTATAACCACTTCAATATTTACCCAATAAATCTCCCGGAGATTTACTCTTCGCCACCGTCTCAAATTGGCTGTCGCAAATTTTTAATGTGTTTCTCGACACCGAACATTCTCGGTTTACAACTACATTTAAAAGCGAAACTGTAGAACCTAAACGGGTTATGATTCTTAATACTTCTTCAGCAAACTTGTTGAACTCCGGGCCAGCATTCTCCGCAATTGTTGAGAACTCTCTACAGGCATCTAAAATCCCACTTTCTGGGAGGAGAGGAATAGTAAAACCTGCAGCGATTACCCCGTTCTTGTCCAACGAGAAACCATTGCGAAACCACACTTCTTCAATCAGCTAAAATAATATTCAATAATACTTTTATTATTGATATAGTTCTAAGAAAGATAAGGGAACAATGAGAAAATAATATATTCAATTTTGTTAAAGAATAGGGGAATGGGGTAAACCGGCTAAGTGTAGGAGAAAAAGTTTGTTTTCTTAGTTCTGTTATAAACATTTGCGAAATTATTCATAAGGAAATTCTGATCGGAAATTCGTATGGAATTTCGCATGAAATGTCAGCTAAAAATTACTTTACAAATTTTTGGTTATTACAAATTTACAAATTTTTGGTTAAATTTCCATATAAAATTTGTACGAAATTTGAGTGAATTACCATTGAATTATTTATAGAAAATTTTTAAAAATTTCTGTTCCAAAATTCGTATGAAATTTCGCATGGTATGCAGCTAAAATTTTTTTTAACAATTTTCGGCCACATTTCCTTACAAAATTAGTACGAAATTCGAGCGAATTACCTTCGAAATATTCATGAAAATTTTTTAAAAATTTCAGCTTGGAAATTCGTATGGAAATTTGCCCGAAAGTTTTTTAAAACAATTTTTTTTTGACATTTTATGTGAAATTCCATACGAATTTCCGAGCAGAATTTTGTATAAATTTTTCATAAATAATTTGTTTGTAATTTGCACGAATTTCGTACGTAATTCGTTCGGAGGATTGGCAAACAATTTTTTAAGCAAATTGTCAAAATAATTTCCGTGCGAAACGCAACACGAATTTTACTAGTAATTTCATACGAATTCAATAGGATTTCTGAACGAAATTCTTTATGAAATTTTTACCTGGGGACGTTCAACTTATCATACCTTTTTAAATTGACTCCAATTGTGACAATAGTTTGTTTTTGGAAAAATTTCTTCACAACAACTCTTCATACTCTTATTAAAAGGCCCTACAATAAATTGCAATTCCTCTTTCTGCAATTGATCGCCAATTTCATTAATAACAGATTTCCTAATCGAATCGGTTAACCTCGATGCTACTACGCAAAAAATGATGAAACTCTAAAATATTGAAATTGTAGACAATTAAAAAATTATAACGAATGGTAAAATGCGATACGTGCACAAATAATGTTTAGTATGTTTTAAACTTCAACTAAGTAACATGATAACCTATATTTTAAGGAAGATATTTTAAGAAAAATATTATTTTTAAAAATAACATACTTTTCCATTTTCCTCTATGGCGAAATAAATGAAATGTATTGAAAATTTCTCGAAAGACATCTGTAAATAAATGCAAAATTATTTACTACTAAATCTTTTTAACAAGACAAATTTATGCGTTAGGAAGATTGTTCTTTGTAAGGATATATATCCTATATACGGATATAATCCTAGAAGGATTTTTTAGCTCTAGAAACTTTAAGTATTCTATAAAAAGAAATAAACAATCAATGAGATAATAGAAATACAACTTTAAATTCCTTTTTGTCCTGCCTGCACAGAAAGTGTGTTATTTCGTGCATATGAAGCGGTCGCAAAGTAAGTTATTCCCGCCTAAAACTAGAGTAAACGGGCGCAAAATACATTCGCGCCTGCTGACGTCATACGAGCGGGCACAAAATACATTCCGTCCGCTGACGTCATAGGAGCGGGCGCAAAATTATTTTCCGCCCGCTAATATCACAAAATTGAAAGCTAGAGGTGTGCAAAAAGCTCGATCGAGTATTTTCGATTTTTTCATTTTTCGAGCCGAGTCGTACGTAACTAATTAAATTAACGTAACTTACGTAACTAACCTAACATTACTTACGATAGAACGTAAGAAACAATTCATTCATATGTGTATGCTCTCAATAACACACTTTTCATACTTAAAAATGTTGTTCGCAGCACGGGCGCAAAAAGTGATTGTGTCTCAGGCGAGATTTTGGAGAAACTTCGGTGACCCTACGCTACCTTGGCTTCGCCTCGGTTCTTCGCCTTTGCTACAATCACCTATTTTGCGTCCTTAATACGAAAGTAACTATTTTTCAGTATGATATCAATAAATAAATATAACAAAAGATGTTTAAAAGTGATTTAAATTACAAGTTTAAAATTATAAAGTCGTATAATTATATATATAATTTAAATTTAAATAAAGTAAAAATCATTATTTTAACCAATGAAATCAATCTCCTTCATTATTGAAGAAACTTTTACTAACTTGGATAGATTCATCAATGTATAATGTGTTTACATTTGATGTGAAATTTGCCAGTTTTAAAATTGCGACTCCTGGTGCCAATGTTTTGTGATGCGTTTGAAATTTTCGCAGTTTTTCAAAAAATAGCGTTGCATTATTGATAGTAGGTAACTGTTTTTTTCTAGCTGCCATCATGCGCGGCCTTAATCCAGCAAAGCTTAAAGAGACCGAATGCCTACAAACAACTGTTTATCAATATCCAAATAAATTTTTTCTTATCTCTAATACTTTATCTCATATAGTAAATTTTCTTAACATATTAAAATTATTTTAAAACTTTTATATGAATTACATGATTACTTTTAAATGATTATAAAGATTTTTAAGTATATTTAATACTTTCAAACAATTCGAGTGAATGAGTAATATTGGCTATTATAATTTAACATCATAGGGTAAACCAGACAGTAGTCGGCCATTTTTCAATTTTGAATAGCTATAAAACCGTATGAGATAAAAGTATTTTGTTTGTTGCTAATCATTTCTAATGTGATCATAAACAAATCTAAACTTTTGTAATAGAAAAAAAAATTTTTGACGGTTCGTGAAAGCTGTGGCCGACTACTGTCTGCTTTACGGGTTTACCCTAGATACAAAATGTTAGCCATTAATATGACGTAATTATGCCGAGCTACACCTCATTACTGTGAATTACAATTTACTATTAAAGGTAAAAAGTTTTTGCAATTAAAGTGTTCAAAATTGTGCCATTACTGGGCAGATCTTCGTTACGTTACTAACAATTGTATTATTCTATTAAATATTGATCAACTTTACAGTAAAGGGGCCATTATTGGGTCTATAGTCGGCCTAGTTTTGGAAAATTAGAATATCTGGTAATCGGCTCCATCATTGGCCCAACAATGAGACGTTCTGAACACCAGAAATGGCCCAGTAACTATTGCCTATTTTCGGCAGACATTACTGGAACAATGATTGACCGTTTTTTTTAGTCTTGTCATTTCGCACTTGGAAAAATTAACTTTTAAATGAAAGTACAAATTACACGTTTAAACAATATTTTAAATATTTGGAGAAAATATTAAAATATAATTACATTCAGCCAAATCTACACGTGTTATGACACTTCTACTTTTCAATAGAAATGGTTTAGATATTATAATGTATCAGAATAATTTCTACGGTGTGAAAACACTTGTTTAGGTAGAGTTAAGCTTAAGGGTTCATAACATTTTCAGAAAGATCCTAGCATTCTAAATATATTTTTTTCGGTGATACTTAAGCGCATGCACGAACTTTGTAAGCTTATTCATAACAAAATCCGTGATGAACTCTTGTCCATGGATACCAGAGTTACCAAATCCTTCAGGTTCTTCAGGGAGAAGACCATCGCTGGGTATGTATAACTTAGCTCTTGTAAAACTTGGGAGCGGTTGTGTTACAGGAGGGTCTCGTCCTTCTGGACTCAACGTTCCCATTGTGAGGCTCTTTAATAATGGACCTTCATTTCCTCTTTTCTCGTGGGACCTTAATGGATACTACGGAGATTAATAACAATAAAACCACACGCGCGAGCGTTGAAGAGCCCCCTTTGGAGGATCACGATGCTGGCGACCAGGGTGTGGTAGCGACAGAGGGAACCGTTAGCCAGTTTTAAATATGTATGCATCCGGGATTCACTGTATGCAGATTAATTTGCATCATTGTAAAGGCGCTTCAGCGATTATAGCCAAGAACTTTAAAAGGATGCAGACAGATATAGCCTTCGTTTATCAATAACCTTCGGTTTACAGAGGTTAAATTAGAGGACTAACTGGCTGTGGGGAGCTAGTTACTTCACCACATGAATCAGTTCCAAGACCTGATCTATAAAGGTTTCTTCACGCTTTCCCACTATTGGAATTAACTACTAGGTACTTAGCTGTTGTTAAGGCTAAGTACTTGGAAAATAACAGAAATAAATGGGAGAATGTGGTAGCTTCCGTTTATTTTCCGGGATCGGGGGATGAACCCGCATCATCTAAAGAGGTTGAGAAGTTAGTAGATTACTGTCAACGGCAAAATCTATCTTTGATAATAGGATGTGATGCAGCACTGACATTAACGATAGAGGCAGAAGACTTTTAGATTTTCTGATATAAACAGATTTATAAATTTTGAATCAGAGTTATGAGCCAACTTTCCTTTCTGTTAACAGAAAAGAAGTATTGGATATTACGATCTGTTCCAAGTTTTTGTGGGATGGTGTGAGGGACTGGAGGGTGTCTGATGAAGATTCTTTTTCGGACCACAGACTTATTACATTCAGAATGGATTTGAAAGATTGGGAACATAAATGAGGACTTTAACCTAGGAATCCTGATTAAGTTTTATATATTGAGGATATCAAGACCTCCATTTTCAAATCATTAAAGACTTCTTTTATACTAAAGACGTTATGGATAATTTTATCAGATAGGAATGTCTCAGGGATTATCCTCTACACCAAGGACAACATGCTAATAGAGCAGGTTTCGCAGTAGAAATAGCCCTCCATTCTGCAGTAGGTAGAATAGAAGGACAAATAAGCAATGGTGGCTATGCTGTTGGTACCTAAAGTTATTTGTAGGGCAGCAAGGAAGCGAGGTGTGCCCGAGACATTAACTAAGTGGATCATCAGTATGCTTCGCGAAAGTGCTCTAGAAGCAGAGTTTGTTGAGGCTAGGGTAACAAGCCTTGTCTCAAAAGGGTGCCCATAAGAAGGAGTTCTCTCTCCATTATTGTGGTGCCTAGTGGCAGATGAGTTGATTAGAAACCTCAATTGCCAGGGATATTATACGCAAAGTTATGCAGATGATTTCCTTATAATTATAAGAGGGCACTCAATTGAGACCGTCTAATGGAGTGTTCAGACCTCAGCAGCCTGCCTGCAGGTTGCCATAGTAACGTACAAGAGTAAGAGAGACAGTGAATTCAAATTTAGTACACTTTCTCCCTTACTCTTATTGCTCCTGCCTGCGCAGGCAGGCAGCCTTTGGAGGTCTGAATGCTCCTTTTGGGTTTACGGAAGGTGCATTTAAGATTTTCAAGGATTAGTGTAGTCTAATTTGAATTTCAGTAAATCCAGAGAAAACTAATATAGTAGTTTGTACAAGAAAATATAAGGAATCCAGTTTAAAGAAGCCGATATTTTATGGATAAGAAATTTCTTTTTTCGAATCAGCTAAGTACCTGGTAGTAATCCTAGATAAAAAGCTGAGTTGGAAAGAACATTTCGGATATCAGTATAGAAGATTGTGCAATGGTTTGCAGGGGTATTACGGGATCTAAGAGAATCCCGCCGACAGCTGCTTAGGGATTCATACTAGCCAAAGTACCTCTGCATATTGTTGCAGTGAAAAAGGCGGCTCTTATTATGAGCAGGTTAACCGCGCAGGAAAAGTGAAAGTTTGGTGGTAAATACACCAAACTTGAGCGTTCAATTCTATCAATCCTAGAATGAAGTATGGTGCAAGATAGAATGATCAAAAGGGTGAAATTTAAACCTTTAAGATTAGTTGAGTTCATCAAATAAACTTTCATTGATCTGGGTACCGGTTTACTCAGGAATCAAGGGTAATGAAAGAGTAGACATCTTGGCAAAAATCAGTTCCGAGACAGCATTTATATGTCCAGAACCAACAGTGACATTAATGTTGTGCTCGGTTAAAGTAGCCATAGAAAAATGGAGGTAAAAGGAACATGAAATGTATTGGGCGCGCATTAGGTTTGGAAGGCAAGCGAAGACTCTGTTGGAGCTAGTACTTAACAAGAGGCGAGCGAGCGATCTTCTAAAACTCGATAAAATCAGAATTAGAACCGTAGTTCGTCTACTTACGGGTCATGGACTATTGAATTACCATCAGCATAAAATAGATAGACAAGTTTCACCTATGTGCAGACTATGTAAGGGGCCGTCCATAAATTACGTAAGGTCATTTGGGTGGGTGGATAATTTTTCTATGTTAACTTACATGGGTGGGTACCTGGTTAAACGAATTTCTTAGGTAAGATATATTTTCTTACACTACTCTATAAATTTCGGAAGTTCTCAAGCTATGATATGGTTGTTCCAGAATGAGCCAAAACGCAACTAAGACGCGACGCGTCCCAATGCCAAAGATGTTAATATTTAACTAAATTTCTGCATTAATATTTATTATTTTGACCAAAGGAAAATCTGTTTAATAAATTTTATATAAATTAAGTATATTCTAAAAAATACAGAACTATACACTATAAACACCAAACATTTGTTTATTAATTCATTTTATTAGTTAAATAATTTTTTGCAATGCTACTAGTAAATTCTAGTAAAAAATACCTAAGCAAAAACTTACGTAAGATAGGGGGGGGTGGGTGGTTCAAAATCTTACGGAGCCTTACAGACGTGGGTGCATGGGTCAAAATGTAAGAAAAATGCCTTACGTAATTTATGGACGGTCACTAATCTAGGTGATTACTTTTCCAATCCGAGAAAATCCAGGTCAATCATAGATGTTAGATTAGATAATATTAGAATTTTTTTCTTCGAAATTACTGGACCGATTGTTATAAAATTTTTACCACTTATTCGTTACATGCGTTGGTACCGCCGGAAGTACTACTTGCCCAGAAGATGGAGTGGGAATGGACAGAAAGTTCGCCATTAGCGTCCACACAAAAAGTGTATTGCATTGCAATCTTGTAGCAAGTTTACAGATAAGACAATTGCGTTATACATGAGTCGTGACTGCAGATTAGATGAAGAGATTGTGATTAAATATATATTGAGAATATGATTGTAAAAGAAAATATAAAATGACATCTGTGTTAGAAAGATGAGCTTTCATAAACGAAGATGGTATTACATATATTAATTTTTTTCAATTTGTCCAATTAAATTATTTATATTATATTTATTATTTATAATATTTATATATATATATATATATTTATATTATAATTTAATGTTTCTATATGAGAAAAGTATTTTTGTAATAGGATAAATGTACCAATTACGGCGCGATTCTGGATTAGCCACTTTTGAAATAGAAAGTTCGATAATTATAATTAAAAAAAAGTAAATTTATCGCTTTTTAATGTAAAAGCTCGTGACATTAATTAATATGCAATTGAATC